TGGTGTGGATTGCACCCTCAGCAAGTTTGCAGATGACACTAAACTGGGAGGAGAGGTAGATGCAGTGGGGGAGGTTTAGGTTGGATATTAGGAAAAACTTTTTCACTAGGAGGGTGGTGAAACACTGGAATGCGTTACCTAGAGAGGTGGTGGAATCTCCTTCCTTAGAAGTTTTTAAGGTCAGGCTTGACAAAGCCCTGGCTGGGATGATTTAGTTGGGGATTGGTCCTGCTTTGAGGAGCGGGTTGGACTAGATGACCTCCTGAGGTCCCTTCCAACCCCAGTATTCTATGATTTTATGATTGCTAAAAATTGGCTTTCTGAAATCTCTCTAAAGTACCTATATACTGCTTCATTCTGTGAAATGTTTATCGCTGTCTCTGCAAATCTGTTTAGAATGCAAATCATTCTTATGACCTCACAGTGCTAGGTGGTGCACAAATACATAGAAGGGCATGGTCCCTGCTCTGAAGAGCTTACAAGTTCATTTCCTAAATTATTTTCTTCTGATAAGTAAGAAGGAAATTCAAGGTGGCTGCTTCTCTGGTTTGACTCTGTATTTTCTGAATCATTAAGTGACTTCTAGTTCTAGAAGTTAGAAATTTTTTTGAGTGTACTTGTTTGGATATGTTACCCAATATATACCCACGGGTTACCCAGTATATACGTGGATAGTTAAAATTCCCTGTGAGAATAGAATTCTTCTGCTTAGATAGCCTTGATATTTGATTCAGGAATTTTTTTCTTTCTTCCCTTTTCTTGCTGCTCTATAGCAGATGACCACAACTGTGTCCTTTGTTGGGGGAACACAAGTAAGTTTCTTTTAACCAGAAGTTTTGGAATAATGGGATTGCTCTGGACTAACAGTAAGAATGCCATTCTTGTCTCCCCTCCGCCTCCTAGAGGACTTCAAAGTTTTTTCAGGACCTCATGAGGTGGTGACCAGTTCTTTAGGGGTGCAGGTGGAATTTGTGCAAGAGAATCCAGATACTTTCCTAAATATTACAGACTCCTGCCCCAGGAAGTGTTGTGCTTCCTGTCAGTGAAGCCTTACTGGAGTCAGTGAAAACTCTCTGGCAGACTCCAGCCAAGCAAGTGGACAGACGATACCAAGTCCCTCAATAAGATTTTGACTGTTTCTTTACCCATCTAGTTCCTGATTCTTTGGTGGCTTAACAAGAGGTCCCATCAATCCCATATTAAGGCCACTCCCAAAGATAAGAAATATAAGAGACTGATTTATACGGCTAAACGGTTTATTCCACTGCCACTCTTCAAATGAGAGTTGCTAATTATCAGGTTCTTTTGTCAAAATATAACTTTGCTAATTTCTCTGCCATTTCTAAATTTGCTGACAAATTGCCAGAGGAATATGAAGAACAGTTTTTAGTTTTGGTTTCAGAGGGATATCTTACAGCTCATTCATACCTCAAGGCAGCAATAGATGCTGCTGCTATGTCCTTGCATTGTGTGATCACTGTAATCTCTACGCAGCATTATTCTTCACTACAGGCTTCTGGCATTCCAAGGGAGCTGCAGAACACCATAGAAATCTTACCTTTTGAGGGTTCTACACTGTGTTCTACTAAAACAGTTGACACTATGCGCACATTGAAGGACTCTTGTGCAATACTTCATTCAATAGGAGTTTATACTTTGGTTAACAAGAGGAAACAGTTCAGTCCATAATCTTACTCCACACCCTCTTTCCCACAGAGGTCACTCACAGTATGCTTCTAAGAGAAAGTGAAGACCTCCTTGATGTCTCCAACCATCTTCGTCAGCAGGAGTCCCTTCTCACCAGACAGCTGCAACTTCCAAGCAATCTTTTTGACTTCTTGGTCAAGGACAGCACACGAACTATACCTCCTCCATTTGGATGATACCTGTTCCTCTTTCACTGTGCTTGGGAAAGCATCACATCAGACAACTGGGTGCTCAGCACATTAAAGGAGGGATATGTTACCCCATGAACTTCCTCCCTTTTCCCAACCCACCTTCCTTGTCCCTTTCAGGGACACTTCTCACAAGACTATTACTTCAAGAACTATGATCTCTAGAATTGGAAGTGAGGAAAGAAGGTCCTTACTAACACAGAAGAAATGGCTTCTATTCCCATTACTTCCTGCTCCCAAGAAATCTGGTGGCCTTGCCCCATTCTAGATCTAAGAAAGCAATTGCAGGATGGTCTGCTTGCTTCTATTATCCCTTCCCTGGAGATGGGAAATTTGTATGGTACCTCTGTTTACAAGACACATACTTCCATGTGGTGATACATCCTTGCCATAGGAAGTTCGATTCATAGCAGGTTCTAACTATTACTAGTACACAGTGCTTCTCTTCAGACTGTCATCTGCCCCAAGGGTCTTTGCCTAATACATAGCAGCAGTAGCATCCCACCTCTGCCATTTGAGCATTCAAATTTTCCTTACCCAAATGATCCGCTAGTTCGTGGAGCATCAAGTGACCAGGACCAAAACAGTATCCTAGTCATCAAACAGCTATTCTCCCATCTGGATCTGAAACTAAATTCGGACAAATCAGAGTTACAACCAACACAACTCATAGGAGCAGAACTCAACAGCATGACCACTATGGCTCTCCTTTCAGGGAAGGTTTCAATCTCTCAGAAAGTCTCAAGTCCAACTCAATGACATGCCTGCCTTCAGCTCCAGACCATGTGACCTCATGCACGTACATAACTCTGCATGCCAGACTTCACCTTCACTGTCTACAGGAATGGCTCCATTTGGTATATCATCCTTTCAGGCACCCCTTGGACATGCAGCTTTGTGTACCTGCATCAGTGTTTCAGTCTCTCAGCTGGTGCTAGAACCCCGAACAGTGTGCCCAAAGAAGTGCCATTTTTGTCTCCAGAACCAGCTATGATTCTGGAAAGTTGTCTACCAAAGTTTGGGGAGCCCATCTCAGTCAACTACAGACATAACCTCTTTGGTCACCTCAGGAAGTTTCACCTCCACATAAATGTGTTAGAGCTCCAAGCTATTCTTTGGATCTGCAAAATGTTTGTCTAGGGTCGGGAAACAGGTGGTACAAGTTCTTACATACAACACCACTGTCTTGTTCTATCTAAACAAGCAGGGAGGTGCAAAATAGCCTCAACTGGAATTTGTGCATTTGTCTCAATGTTTCCCTGAAGGCTTTCATGAATGGTCAGTCAGGAAGGATATTTTGCTTCAGATCTTCCACCACTGGGGGGTACCAAGCAATAGGCTTGTTTGCAACCAACCTGAATAACAAGTGCATAATATTTTGCTCCAGGGCAGGCCACAGTCTGGGTTCCATCACAGATGCCTTTCTTTTTCCATGGTCCATTCATCTCCTATGTCTGGCTGAGTTCCTCTGATTCTGAAGGTACTCAAGAAGCTGAAAAGAGAACAACCAATATTAATCCTTGTTGCATCAATGTGGCCAAGAAACTATTGGTTCATGGACCTACATCAACTTTCTGTCTGGTCACCGGTAACTTTACCACTAGTCGAGTATCTTCTATCTAAGAACCAAAGCAAGATTCTACATCCCAACCTCCAGTGTCTCCACCTTACAGCATAGATCATTTCTGGTTGAATTCCCATGAGAAATTGTGCTCCTGTGGGGTTCAGACATGTTGGTGAATAGCAGAAAATAATCCACTAGACTAAGAGCAACATACTCCACAAACTGGAAGAGATTTTTGATCTGGGTGCAATCTCAACACATATCACCCCATCTTACGGCAGTTGCAGATGTGCTGGACTACTTGTTTCCCCTGAAATCATCAGATTTTTCGATTAGTTCCGTGAGAGTTCACGGGGTTTCCATTTCTGTGCTACATTCACCAGTGATGGGTTTTCCATTTTCTCTCACCCTCTTGTTTCCAATTCTTGAAAGGTCTAGTCAACGTTTACCCTCCTGTTTCTGATCCTGTACCTGTATGGGATCTCAATCTAGCCCTCTCCAAACTCATAGGACCTCTCTTTGAGCTTATGGCTATAACCTCACTATTGTTATTGTCTATGAAGATGGCTTTTCTGGTGGTGATTGCTTCTTCTAGGATGGTTTCAGAACTTCAAGTCCTTCTGAACGGTCCTCCTTTTGTGGTTTTCTATAAAAGCAAGGTTTCCCTTAGACCACACCCTAAGTTTATGCCTAAAGCATAACCATTGTCTGAAGCAAACTATTCATTTTCCAGTGTTTTCCCCCCAAAGCTCCATTCTTCTAAAGCTGAAGAAATATTTCATGTTCTTGGAGCAATGCTCCAGTAGCTGATATCTGCAAGGAAGTGACATGGTCACCTGTACATACTTGTTCTGCTTACTATACCATCAGTCAGGCCTCTCGTAATGATGCAACTTTGGCAAGTTGGTGTTACAGTCTCTGTTCAGATGATTCAAAGTCCCTCCACCTACAAGGGAACTGCTGAGGAGTCACCTGCTGGCACAATCACTGAGAGTTTAAAAAAAAAAGTTACTTACCCATACAGTAACTGTGGTTCTTCAACATACATTTTACATTGCACATACACACATTCTACAACCCTCCCAGCTTTCCTGCTACATTGAACAGTACATATGTCAGTGCGAAGGAACAATGAGGGAAGTGGTGACCACACCTCTTTTATGCCCTTGCCTGAGAGCATGAGAAGAGCAGGAGCACATGTGCTTCCTGGTTGTACTGCAGGCAGATATCTGACTCAAGTGCATGGGGTGCACAGACACCTGCTGTGGAATGTATATGTGCACAGCATATTGAAGAACAACAGTCACTGTGCATTTAAATAACCGATTTTTACCCGCATTTTAACCTGACACAGGAACTCTTTAAGGCAATCTGAACACAACACCCCTGCCTACGTAGGTACTCCTGTTACTTAGGTATTTGAATTAGTTGGTACCTTTGACCTAATGTTGTTACATAGAATAATAGTTTTGTGTTCACCTTTATCTGTATTTACTGCTGGTTTTTAATCATTAACATGGAATACGTTATTTCTATTTTAGTCCTCCTCGACCTCTGACAAACATGAATGACACCATGGTTACCCATATGTCCTCCGGAGCACCCACTCCGACGAAAAGGTATCTATACCTCACTAAATTTACTGTTTACATCTTTACAAGAGGTAGAAATAGAATGAATTATGCGTCACTGTTAGTGTTCTGACTTGTTTCAAATGCTACTGCAGCTGCACCGAGTGTGTCTGAGGTTCATAAAACAAGGCTTGATTGCCGCTGCTGCTTTTTGATCTCTTTAAAGAGCTATTTTCTTGTACTGAGTAATTTTTACTACAGAAATGCTAAAGTTTTATAGAGGGTATTTCCTCCAAAGCCATTCAGGAAGACCGGTCTTGCTGTTTTGTTGCCTTTGTTAATGCCAGTTCTTCACACAAAGTAGAAACCAGTTGCATAGTTTCTTTTGAAATTCCTGAGGCCTGATCTACATGGGGTGCTTAGTTCATATGGTGTGACGCACAGGGGTTAGGGCGCAATATGGAAGCTGTACTAATAGTGTGCACACAGGGCAGCTGTGCACTACCCAGGAGATGATGGGGCTGTAGCAGCGGCTCCTCCAGCCGCAGCAGAGGAAGAGGACGAGGAAGACGAGGATGACACCGCGCAACTGCTGCTTCACAAACTCTTCTTGGAGCAGTTCACAGCACGGTTCTTGGGCTTGGGAAATCAGCACCAGTGGATGAGAGAAGATCTTTCTGCAGACCTGGAATGATCAGCAGAATTTGGTGACAGAATTTTGGGGATGTGATGATGGGGCATCTGCCCCATACTGGCCTATAAAGGGTTATTAGAGCCCTAGGGAGGCTGCACAAAAGGCAGCCAATTAGAGAAGGGCCAGGTTGATCCATAAAAGAAGGACTGCAGAGCAGAGCCACTTCAGTCACTCCCTGGACTTTGAGGGAGGAGGACTGGCTACCTTGTAGGCTGAAGGCAGCAAGCACCCTGGACAGAACAGTGCTACAGGCAGAGACTGCGGGAGTTAAAGGCAGCTCCTGGTGGGCTGCAGGGATCTGCAGGCTGAGGCCTTGAAGGAAGGACAAAGTGGGTGCTGAGGCCACGGGGAAATGTCTCGGGGAGATCTACTGAGGAGTTGGAGGGGACGCAGCAAGTGGCAGCCATCTACAGAGTCCCTGGGCCGGAGTAGTAGATGGGCCTGGGTTTCTCCCCTCCCATCCCCCGCCTTGCCACTGAGGAAGTGGCCAATTGGCTGAAGTAGCCACTGAGGGAAGTGGCTGGACAGTGGACTGCGATACTGGAAGTGGGGGAGCACAGAGTACGGCACAGCCGAATGGCTGTGTCCTGCAGAGGACGCTGCAGTTGTTGGAGTGATGTGGGTCCTGAAGCAGAAGTGACGGCAGCTGGACATCACCAGAAGAGGGCGCACTGGTGAACAGAGCTAATCCCCAGGACAGCCAGCAGGAGGTGCCACAGTGGTGAGTGAACCCCATCACAATGGTGAAGACAACCTTTTCGAGATCAGTGCTGAACTAGCCCTGGAGCCGCAGCAACAGCATCCCAGCATGCAGTGCCCCATACCCATTGAGAAGCGTGTCACCATTGCCATCTAGAAGCCAACCACCCCCAAATGCTACCAGTCTGTAGCCAGCCAATTTGGCATAGGGAGACCGGCTGGTGGGTCCATTGTGAGGCAAGTGTGTGATGTCACGCATAAGGTATCGTTGTACTGGGTTTTAAAGCTTGGTGATGCTCAGGAGATTTTTGATGGCATTGCATACATGGGGTTCCCAAACTGGGTTGGGGTAATTGATGGGACCCATGTCCCTATCATTTGGCCCCCACATCAGGGCTCAGAGTTTATGAACAGAAAGGAGTATTTCTACATGGTTGCTCCTAGGCCTGGTTGACCACCATGACATGTTCACAAACGTAAATGCAGGGTGGTCTGGAAAGGTCCACAATGCTAGTATCTTTCAGAATGCTGCTCTGTTTACTTTAAAGAATAAAGGAGACTTTTCCCCCCAGATCACTATGAACATTAATGGTGTGGAGAATGCTCTGGTTATCCTGGGAGACCCAGTTTATTCTCTGCTTCCCTGGCTAATGAAGCAATTCACAGACCACTTGGACAGAAGAAAGGAACTGTTTAACTAGTGCCTCGGTAGTTGCAGAATAACAGTGGAGTGTGTATTCGGCAATCTGAAAAGAAGGTGGCTCTCTTTATGGGCTAATTTGCCTAGGATTATAGCTACATGTATTTTGCAAAATAGCTGTGAGAGTAAAGGAGAAAGCCTTAACAGTCGATGGGAGGCTGAGTGACGGGGACTTGCTCAGCGGTTTAAGCAGCCAGTTGAAAATGGAAACAGCCATGGCAATACTGTCAGGGATGTATATTGCTCTTACTTTGAGTCTCAGGCCTGAAAAGGTTCAGCTGTACATCCAGCTATTATCCCAGAGAGTAGTGGGGAGAGTGGATTGTGAGCGTTGGAGTCTTTTATGGGTGGTGGAAGTGGCACATTATGACACTCCTTATTTTATCATGTCTGTGGTTTATACTTTTAGAAAAATCTATGACATGCAAAATTTAGGTTTTTTCTGTGTACCATGCTGCCACAGATCCACAGCATGCCCCAGCTTTTAAACAGTGCCCTGGAGGAACCACTTCAGTATGCCAGACCCCCAAGGGGCCCAACTCTTTCTTTAGGGTAGGACCCAGCCTCAATGCCTCTGAGACTGAGCCCCTGGGCTCCAGTAATCCTGCTTTGCACGGTGAGCTCTGCCCAGGCAGTCCAGGGACCAATGTACCTCCACAAGGATATTCAGTGTTACCAGGCAGCCTTTTCAAAACAGAGCAGGATTTATCAATCAACTGGAACACAGCTCTGGAAGTCGCAGAGAAATCAATGTTAAGGTGTAGTTCATTCTGGCCAAGCAAGCTCTCCTCACAGCTACGCTGGAATCCATTTTTGGCTCTCTCTCCCTCTCTCTTTGGCAATCCCAAGTGAGAACTGCTGTCTCTCTCCCAAAAGCCAACTTTTATGCCAGCCACATGACATCTTTCATGCTGAGTTCACGTGTCCTGCCTGCTGGAGTTTCCCATGTATAAGTGTCCGTTGTTCAGTCCTTACATCTCCCATTGTCTTTGCGGACCCTCCATCAATATGGGTCAGTTTCAGTCAGTGCTTAATGACCCTTTCATTCCATCCCAATCAATAATGTAAGACAATACCTTATGTTTCCCGCTCTTCCCCAAGAACAGCTTTTTAACCTTTTGCACCCACTTAGCAATGCAATGCATTTTGTGCCCACTTAGCAATGCAAAGTGCAGAGGGAAACTAAGGCTCACAGAGGAATCATAAAAACTTTACAGAAAATTCCTACTTTGTCACACATGCATTGCCAAGTCTTTTTGAATTAATTTTAATGATTTTTATTATTAAAAACAATTTATGTAACAACCAAAAATAAAATCTTTAATTATGATTAATAATGAAATATTTAAAGCAGTGTTTAATAATGAAACACTGCTTTAAAGTGACACAGTGCAGTGGAAGGCAGGCTCCAATTCACAGGTGAATATACGCCTTGCCTCTGTCTCTTCTTGTTCTTCTGCCTTCTGATGTCAAGCCTCAAAGTACCAGATGTGTTACATGGCATGAAAGAGCTGGGCTCTCGGGACAATTGTTTTTGTTGCCCTGAGCTTCAGCTGGGGAGAGGAATGGTAACTGGGAGCACAACTGTAAGGTTTCATTGGGGGAACATACGCTGATGTTCTCAGTATTCTGTATTGTTCAGGGGTTGCAGAACATGGCTGGGTCCTGGTTGAGGGCACTGGAATGTCTGTGTGCTGCAACGGAGCATTCTGAGTCTATGTGACCTCCAGGAGTTGCTACTGCATCTCCCTGTCTTTATCTATGGTGACTTTTGCCATGGCCACGCTGTCTCTGGCCACTGCAACACTTTCTCTGGTGTCTCTCAGATCCAATCTCCAGCTTGCTATTGACAGGTTTCAGAGGAACAGCCGTGTTAGTCTGTATTCGCAAAAAGAAAAGGAGTACTTGTGGCACCTTAGAGACTAACCAATTTATTTGAGCATGAGCTTTCGTGAGCTACAGCTCACTTCATCAGATGTATACCGTGGAAACTGCAGCAGACTTTATATACACACAGAGAATATGAAACAATACCTCCTCCCACCCCACTGTCCTGCTGGTAATAGCTTATCTAAAGTGATCAACAGGTGGGCCATTTCCAGCACAAATCCAGGTTTTCTCACCCTCCACCCCCCCACACAAATTCACTCTCCTGCTGGTGCTAGCCCATCCAAAGTGACAACTCTTTACATAATCAAGTCGGGCTATTTCCTGCATAGATCCAGGTTTTCTCACATCCCCCCCCACCCCCATACACACACAAACTCACTCTCCTGCTGGTCATAGCTCATCTAAACTGACCACTCTCCAAGTTTAAATCCAAGTTAAACCAGAACATCTGGGGGGGGGGGGGGTAGGAAAAAACAAGAGGAAACAGGCTACCTTGCATAATGACTTAGCCACTCCCAGTCTCTATTTAAGCCTAAATTAATAGTATCCAATTTGCAAATGAATTCCAATTCAGCAGTTTCTCGCTGGAGTCTGGATTTGAAGTTTTTTTGTTTTAAGATAGCGACCTTCATGTCTGTGAGTGCGTGACCAGAGAGATTGAAGTGTTCTCCGACTGGTTTATGAATGTTATAATTCTTGACATCTGATTTGTGTCCATTTATTCTTTTACGTAGAGACTGTCCAGTTTGACCAATGTACATGGCAGAGGGGCAGAACCAACCTTCCACACAAACTTCCTCGTGGCTGGATTTTACTAAAACTAGACAAGCCATTTACAACGCACACTTTGCTTCTCTACAAAAGAAAAAGGACACTAAACTTTCTAAACTACTACATGCTACAAGGGGCCACAGCAATGGTTCCCTCACCCCACCTAGCGATATTGTTAACCTATCCAACTATACTCTCAGCCCAGCAGAAGCAGCTGTTCTATCTCGGGGCCTCTCCTTCTGCCCCTCCACCCCCACGAACATGATACAGTTCTGTGGTGACCTAGAATCCTAT